CCTGGATCACGCATATCCTAATTTCAAATATTTTTATTAATCAAAGGGTCTTTTTATTCTCATTGACAGGCTTAATAATAAATCATGTTGTAAGTTTGAACAAATGAAATAATGTGTACCAATAAGGTTCCACTTTGGTTTTCGAGTTTCATGAGATTAATTTTGAAAATGGAATTTCCAGGCTCAGAAATTTGAAAATCAATAAATGAATGTAACCAACTAACTTGAGCCAAATAAAAAAAAAAATATTTTGGTTTTAAGTGTTAGCACACCAAATAGCTCACGAACATTGTGTTGGGAGCCTTTCTGGGCCCTAATCCAAAGTAGAGACAGATGAGCATGTCAAGATAATTCTTGAAACTATCTTGAAAAAGATCATTTGGGGTAGACTTAGCTGTCCTTAAAGCAGCAGTTTTCAGCTGGTAACTTGTGAACTAGATACATTTTGCCTTTACATTTTATTTTTTAAGTCTTCTGCATTTGCTTCCGGCATTTTTAAATTAGAAGGTTTTATATAGAACAAAATCCATACTTCTGACTTCCCTTAGACAATTGGAAGAAATGCACTAGCATTTCTCACATGGTAATATTGGGTTGGAGTTTAATAGATGCTGTCATCTGTATTAGTTTCCTAGGGCGGCCATAACGAAGTTCTACAAACTGGATGGCCTAAACAACAGAAGTTTATTGTCTCCTTTCTTAGAGGCTGGAAGTCTGAGATCAAGATGTCAGCAGGCTTGTTTTTTTTCTGTTGGCGGCAGGGAGAATCTATTTCAGCCTCTCTCCTAACTCCTAGTAGTCTGCTAGAAATCTTTGGCATTCCTTGGCTTGTAGACCCATCACCCTGACCTCTGCCTTCATCTTCCCATGGCATTCTACCTGGGTCATGTCTATGTCCAATATCCTCTTTTTATAAAGACACATCATATTGGACTAGGGGCCCACCCTACCCTGTATGACCTCATCTTAACTAATGGCATCTGCAACAACTCTACCTCCAAATAGGTCACATCTTTGGGTACTAAGGGTTAGGACTTCAATATATGAATTTGGGGAGACACAATTCAACCCTGACACCCACCTTAGAAGGGCCATGTATTCCTCCATTCCTCACAGTTGCCATCTGATCGAGGATTCATTTCTGTTCCTCACCTGGCCCATGAAGGCATTCAAATTTGCGAAACTTGTCCTAAAAATCCCATGGGTTCAGGAGGCTGTGCACTTGGCACGTGGTCCTAAATCTTATGGAATCATAGGATCATGGGATGTCAGAGCTGGAAGGAACCTCAGAGATTAACTATTGTCATCCTCTAGCCCTCCAAGAAATGCTCCAGCTGGCCTATTTCAAAATACTTTCCACAAAGACCCCAGAAATTCCTACTATTTGCCTGAGATTTTATAAAAATTCCATCACATTGCATTTATTTGAGGAGGGAGACAAGTCTGAGGCTCCCCTCTCAGATCCATTACATAGGAAATAAATCCCTTTCCCCTAAACTTTTCCCAGGAACTGGTCCTGTGGGAATTGGTTCATTCTGCAGGGCCTAAGGAGCGTTGTTTGTTTGTTTGTTTATTGGAGTATTTGCAATGGAGTTATTTTTTTAGAAAATAAAGAGGCTTTCCAACTAAATAGGACCACTGTGTACAAATTAGCTCAGGAAAGGATGCTTCTCAATGGTTCAGCTGTTTCATAGGCCACTTAACATACAGCATGGGTAAACACAAGTTCCCATCTACAAAGGGTTTTTCTAAATTTATAGCTTCTAAACAGCCATTAGTTTTGCTACCAGATGGGTCACAAGAGGCAAGCCGATAAATCTTTAATCTTCAGTGGATCATGCTTTCCCATATGCATGTTTATTCTCTGAATCTATGTGTGTTTCAGCCAGGGTACAGCTGATCTCCCACAAAAAAACATGCTGTCGAGCGAGAAGGAATCAATAGCATCCAGTGCCCACCTCCTCTTTATAAATTCTAACTCCTTGCATTTTCAGAGGAGAATCCAAGGAGATCCTGATCCTGTATATAATCCCATATGATAAATTATTATAAAAGTTGATGCACAATATAGCTTGACTTCTAATGCATCAGTCAATAGTAATCTGCCCTTAAAAGCCGTTAGGAAACGCCCTTTTGTTTCCTCTAAGAAGTTTGTAGTTCATTCTTTTCGCCTAAAATGAAAATGGGATTGAAATATTTTTCATTACTAGCTCATAATAGCCTAAATCAGCCCATTCAGGTACCTGATGCCAAATTAGATTCTGCCACAGAGTAAATATTAAATCACTTAATTTTCTGCTCAACGTCTTCATCATTGACTGTAATTTGCCTGACATAACCTGAATGTAATTTCAAGTATATGGTACAATCAATATAACAGTAAATAGATGACATTTGCAAAAGACGGCGGAACTCATACAAACATTAATGCTGGTCCCTCCAGGTGTTTTGACAGCGCTTATTAGGAAGACCTCCTTTGCTATGAAGAGTGAAAAAAAAATGTCTTGCAATTCAAATAACATCTTATAGTTTTCCAAGTGCTTTCATGACCCCTGGCTCACGTTTTCCAAAATGAATAGTAACTCTCTGCCACAGTTAAAGCAGTTTCTGTTTTCTGAAAGACACTGATGCTTGAGAAAGCTAATGACCCATCCAAAGGATACAATCCGGATCCTGGGCTCAGGCTCGAGTTTTCTGCACCTGGAGGACAATGTTCTTTCTCCTATCCTATGTCACTTCTCAAAATATTGTGCTTCGGTATTTCTTTATCCATTAGTTTTAAGAAGCCCCACCCCAGGGCACTCTAAAAACACTGGCACACATTGTTTGCTGTCACTGTTCTAATGCTCTGAGGCCACCAGTCACGGGCTGGGATTTGCTTTATGTTAACTGCATCATGCAGGTGGATGCCTGGGAAATTATCTCCAAGTGTCACTAGCCACCACCTGCGTGCATTGCCCTTGATCAAGGGGAAAGGAGGGTTTTGTGTTCAATTCAAAAGGAGAAAGAAGCTGGCCTTTCTTTATCAGGAGCTCAGAACACCTCCAAGGGGTCACCATCATCTCTGTACCTTTCCTCAGCAGTTTCTTGAAAAGGACAAACTTAATTCTTACCAGAACATCTTTAAAGAAACTATACTTGTGTTGGCTTCCTTGCATTTGCACGGAAATTAAAGGAAGACAGTATTTTTGTTACAAAAATCACTTCTTAATAACAGCTTGATATGAACTAATTGCTTGTGTGGCTTTGCAGGCAGTGGCAAGAATTATTACATTGGCTGCGTGCTTTGGCTTCAGGCTTGGGCACACTTGGATGGGGCTCAGCCCCCAGGAGAGCCCCCAGAGTTTTCGCCTTTCCAAATAAATGAACTCCGTGCCCCCTTTGCATTGACTTTGAGGGTGGCACAGGCCCTTCCCCAATAAATTGGTAAGATTTGCATTTAGTAATCACGATGTGACGACGGTAGCCGTATCTTGCCGTGCGATAAGACACAGATTCTGAAGCTAAGCTACCTGAGTTTGAATTCTTCCTCTTCCACCAACTAGACATGCTACTGTGGTTGGGTTACATCACCTTATTATGCCTCAGTTTATGCATCTGTAGAATGGGAACAAAATACTCCTTTTTTACTTTTTGTTGTTATGATGGTAAAATGAGTCACCATATGTAAAGAGCTAAGAAAAGTGAGGGCACATAGTTGGAACAGAATGAATTATAGTTTTTGTCGTGGCTGTAACAATGATGAAAACAGTGCTGGCCCCTTGAGCCACCTGAGAGTCGAGAAATATATTTCCCCTGACTTTACTCTTTTTTCCCAACTTCAGAAAACTGAAGGCTTACACAATATCTCCATGACCTGGTCAAGGTCTAACAGCTAGTAAATGACTGAGCCAAAAGGAGAACTGATTTATGTCCCCAGGACTATCACGTTAACTGGTCAAGTTAGCCAGCCCACTGGCCAAATGACTCAAACAGCCTGAAGTCAATGAGCTTGGCGGTGTCACAGAATGGACATTGGATTTGGAATCAGAAGGTCTTGTCCTGACTCCAACTCTCACTAACTCAAGTCAGTTAACTTCTCTGATTTCACTTTCTGCATCTGTAAAATGACCCCGCTCTAACCCATTCTGTAGGAGTGTTCTGAGAGGTGAAGAAATGCCATATTCAAGAGCATTTTGTAAATTCAAATGTCATGTAAGGTATCACTCATTAATTTTTGAGATCTTATGGAATGATTTTTCTTTTTTGCTGTTGTTAATTGAACTGACTAAATCACCTGGTTATTTCCTGCCCCATAGATGAAATCTGGCCTTTCTTTAACGTGCAAGCATACAAATCAGCCTTGAAACAAAGGTTGGAAAATGTCCCAGCCCGTAGAAATGGGGACCCTGTCCTTCCTCCCCCCTCCCCAAAACTGTGTAGGTTTGTATCCATTAATTGAATAATTCATCCATTCACTTATTGTACTTCCTACTATGTACCAGGCATTATGCTGGATAATCAGATAAATAATACACAATCTTGGCCCTCGGGAGGTTAACCAACTTCATAAACAGATAATTATAATCCACTATGTTAAGTGGAGTACCAGATAATTGAATTGCGCTAAGGAAACCTTTATCTAGGAAGGGAATTCACAGAAGACTTCCTGGAGGAAGTCACATCTAAACTAAGTCTTAAATGGGGGGGAAAAAAAGTCACTAGTAGCTAAGTATATGGGTATACTTTGTGACGCTCCAGGAGTAGATGGCAACACTTGGTTGATGGCCTGACCCCAGGGTGAACCCAGCCCAGAAATGACAAGAAAATCGATGTCTCAGCTGAGAATGTCCTTCAAAAACCTACTGACTACGTGGGGCTTTGCTGTTGCCAGTGTCTTAGGGCAGATGTTTGCAAACCTAGCTTATTTAATGTCTGAAGTTTCTACAGCGGACCATGCCTGCCTTTAAAGGAGGAACGGGACACTTTTTCTCTTAGAATGACCATAAGCAAGTACTTACCTTTACGTAGTGCAGCTTAGTGCTAAGGCTGAAGAGAAGAGTGAATTCACATGAAACTCTTGCAGGCACTAAAACAAAATGAAGGGGGTAAAGTAAAATCAGACCAGAATTCATGGGAGTGAATTTCCACCTATGAAGCAAGAGTCTCATTATCATTTTAAAAGATTTGGGGGTTGGAACACATATGGGTATTGCTCTATAAATATCATTTAGCATGCACTAAAAATAGCTGTTCATGCAGCAGTTTGAGAGTTTAGCGACTTCTGGAAAGGCAACGGCTTTGGACATCGCAGGCTGAGAACTGTTTGTTTATGTGACTAAAAAAATGAAGAGATGTGTTCCCCAAAGACCAACGGTGATAGGGGAGGCGCAGAGGGGACTTACTTTGGACGCAGATCTTAATAATGATCCTGTGGATCCTTGACACCCGACTGCCTATATGAATTTATTCTCTGAATTTTTTTTCTCCATGATTATGTCGTAGTGAGTGGTGTGTGGACAAACACTGTAATCACTACAAAGAAAATTAGTCACATACGTGTTTTGCGTTAAGACAAGTGCACTCTGATGTTTGCCTTGCAAATTTAGATGCGCCATCTAGTGGAGGGAGTGGAGATTTTCCAGTGATCAAAGGGGTCCTTCTTGGGGATTATTGCATCTAGATGGCTTCCTAAATACTTTTTCTCCCAGAGAATCAATTCCCCTGTTCAGATGGTGTGTGTTTGAAGCTGTTTGAAATCCATTGGTCCCTGCAAAGCTCCTCCCCTTCTGGAAATCAGTCTGTCCCAGGTGTCACTCCCTCTCGGCTGGAGCCCATTTAATTCAACTGGGCCTCAAGGGAGGGGTCAGACTTTACCAACTGGAAGACACTGTAGAACAGGGCAAAAGGACAGGAGTGGGAAAGGGCTAGAAAAGGGTGAAGGAGCGTCCCCATGCCTGGGACATAGGGTGCTCCCCTGGGACCGCAGAGGGACATTCACAGCCGGCGCCTGGGCCAGACAGACCCTGAAAGGCATTGCTGTCGCTGCTGCAAGGTCTGAGGTCTGGCAGCGAGGAGCCTACCAGGGGTGTAAGCAGTGAAGAGCTGAGTTGCAGAGGGACAGCTTGGTGTCGTGCAAGGAGAGGCCAGGGGCAGGACACCTGTGTGCTCGGTGTGACAGTGGTCCAGCCGGGAGCGGATGACGGCCGGAATTACAGACATGCAATGGTGAGGGGCAGGGAGGAATTTCTGACATGGGTGGAATCTGCAGAACACGGGTTATGGAACATGCCTTCCAGAGGCAAAGCTAAGAGCAGAGTTGTTACCCTTGTGTCCTGGTGCCTTTCACTTTGACGTGGCAGCAGCCTTAATTTGTTGGCAGGTCGGGAGTGGCAGATGGGGAGCCCCTGCCCGATTCCCTCTATTTTCTTCATGAGGAGGAAGGGAGTCGTGTGTAGTCCGGAGCTTGGGGATGGCTTGGAAGGGGAGTCTGAGAAGTGGAAGCCTGGCCAAGGACCCACAAACAAACACTGCCCAGTGATGTGGGCTTCGGTGAGGGGGCGTGGTATGCCATTATCCCTGGTTACATGGGGCTGCCAAAGCAGAGGGAAAGGGTAAGGTGTGAGGGAGGGTACAGAGGGAGAGAATACATCCCCATCACCGCTATCAGCCCTATCCTTTCAAGATGAACCATTGACTGCTGTCAGTGCTTTGAGTCATGGCAGCTTTGTGGTTAAGAACTGGTCCCACCTGCAAGGCAATCCTTCTCCTCTGCAGGCTTCAGTTTCCTCATCTGTAAAGCAGAGATAGGAACAGAAGCTATGCCACATACAGTGTGGAATACAATGGGATCGTTTATCCACTTGGCAGAGAGCCTGATGTCCTGCTGGTGTTACGTTGATAGTAGCTATTATTTGGGGGGAGAATGAATATCTCTCAGAACACTCCATATATGGCCTATAAAGAATAAAGAACTTACCACATCATTCCAGAATTTCACATTTATTCCACTACTCGACTGTCTGGGTTAGGACCAAGTTCAGGTGACGGTCCTACCACGCCGCCTCCATTTCTGGTTTTTGAATTGAATGATGACAAGGAGACCTCTCTCATTCTGAATATTTAGACAGGCCACATTTATCTTATCCAGTCTCTTTACTCAGCAGCTAGGTATACTGTCACTGAGGCAATCTACACAACCAAAATATTAAATTCAACCTTGGCTAATTTGGTAGTTAAGGGACAAACTTCTTTAGGCTTTTCATGGAGGACAAAAACCTTTTTACTTCTTTCTTAGTGTGCCTGTTTGCATGCGGAGAAGGAATTACTGTCACAAATGCCGGCTTTTAAAACACCAATGTGGGAAGATAGCTAACATCGTCCTGAAAAGGTATGAGTCAGAGCCTGGGACATGATAAGTTGTTTGGATAAATGGGATCTGTTACACGCACACACACACACACACACACACACACACACACACACAAAGGCAACACATAGAGAAATGAAGGCACACAGCAGCATGACAATTGCAAGCCACCCCGGGGACCCTGCTGGGGACGGGGAGTTTGTAACTGTTTATGAAATCGACATATTCGTACCAAAGAAATGTCATAGGTGTTGACCTCTATGATTTCTACCCTTCATGACTTCTGGGCCCCATTTCGATATTTGTACTTTTCTGACTCAGGTGGTGTTCCTGGGGGCCGTGCTTTGGAAAAAGCTTGTAGTTCGAAAATCACTAGACGTCCTCCTCCTGACTCCTGGAGCATCCTGGAGAGTACGAGTTGAAGAATCTCAACTTCACAGTGCTCTGGGTCCACGCCCCAAACACAGGAAAAAGTACTGGTGGGTTGGTTTTTTTTGTTGTTTTTTTTGTAAGTTTATTTATTTATTTTGAGAGAGAGGGAGAGAGAGAGAACGAACAGGGGAGGGACAGAGAGCAAGAATTCTGAGCTATCAGAGCAGAGCCCTGTGCAGGGTTTGATCCCACTAACCGAGAGATCATGACCTGAGCTGAGGTCAAAAGTCAGTCATTTAACCGGCTGAACTCCTCAGGCACCCCATTTGTGGTTTTTTAAGGCCATTTTAAGAACAATCAAAAGAAGTTTCAGGGGAAAATAGCCATTGAAAGAGTGCAAGCTAAAAAACTTAATAGAAGACAAAGTAAAAGATGTGGGTAAAGGACTGGAAACAAAGCCTAGAAAAGTTACAATTCATCAGGACTGAAGGAAGGGCCTTTTCTGCTGGTTCATGGGTCACTGGTTTGTGAAACAAGAAACAAAGTGAGTGAAATCTGGAGCCAGACACAGTCAGCTGGGCATCCCGGCCCTGCTGTCTGGAACTTCTTGCGTGGCAGGTGGGGCGGGGAGAGACGTGGGGCTCCGAGTGACAGAAAAACGAAGGGACACATTAATCAAAAGGCTCTGAGTCAGTGTTGGTTGGCCCTTTTCCCTTTCCCCTCATTCCTCCCACCCCTTAAGGAGCCTTTTAAGATACCATTTTCCTACCTGCTCCTCCCCATGAAATTTTAATACCACAGATGTACTGTAGAGCTGTTTACGTACTGTGGCCCTTTGAAGGGCCCCAAACCATTGGAACCTCTAAGATTTGTGCCTTCCATGAATGACTTTTCACCCCTTGGAAGAACTATTGCCCTTGGTACTTGCCATATACCTGGCACTGACGCTTGGGACCTCATTCGTAATTCCCATTTGGCATTCGAGACGTAGAAGGTTAGAGAAACACGTTCCAGGACAGAAAGGAGTCTCACAGCCTCTTCTCTTAACCACCACACCCAGGCTTCTATCAGGATCCCCATATGACCTGCCATAACTACCATGTTCTGCTCCTCTAAGATGTCAAGACCATCACAGCTGGGGTGCAGAAATAAGGTCCCTGGCGTCAGGGCTCACGGGACCATCACCGGCATCCAGGGTTCCTTTTCTGAGCACCTTTCTCGGGGGCCACGGACAGTGGTTATGAAGACAGAGGCAGACATTGGCGCCTGGCTCCTGAGGACTCTCCATGAGATGCTGTGTTCTGAACTGCAGAAAATGGTGGCGAACGAGGTCAAAGACACACTCCCTAAGTAGCAGAGTGTGGAAAAGCCCAGGAGTTACTCTGCCACCAAGGACGACACAACCATGCCGCAGGGGCACAGACAATCCAGAACGTCCCGTGAGAGCTGGTGGGGCTGGGGACACGGCAGATGGGCCTCTGCTTGTCACTCTACTTGTACCCTCCATACGTGTAGATAGCAGGATGCAGCCGACAGAGGCTGGGTACAAAGGACATGGAATCTCACCACCCAGTTAATTTGTCTACAGTGGGGCCCAGGCATTGGTATCCTCCTCCTTCCCCCCTCCTCCTTCTATAATAATAATAATAATAATAATTATTATTATTATATATATATATAATTTATATATAATTATATATATAATATATTATTATTATTATTATTTTTTTTTTTTCTAGGGAGAGATTCTGACTGCAGCCAGGGTTAGGAGTCTCCAAACTAGACCAAACCTTCCTCCTTTGCCAAAACATCTGATGCATTCCCATCTGCAGCTGTGGCTCACTTAAGTGATCCTCATGGCAAAATTGGTAAGGGACATAGGAGACGCTTCCAGGGAAGTGTATGGATCATAAATGCTTTTGACTACAAATAACAAAAATCCCAGCCAGAGTGATGTGAACAAACACGAGTTTACTTGCTTACTGTTTTACCTCCTGAAAAGTCTGAAGACAGACAGTGGCTGGCACTCGTTGCAGTCACTGAACAATGCCAGCACCTGAGTGTCTAGAATTCTCTTGGATTTGATTTCATGGTTGCAGAATGGCTGCTACAGCTCCAGCCATCATGTTTATATGACAGCGGAGAAAAAAGCGCCTGCAGAAAACTTACCGCTTACATCGAATTGGCTACAACTGTGTCATATACGCCCCGTGGCAATAAGAGAAGGGGATTGAGAATTAATTTGGCTGACCTTGTATTTGGCACAGAGGATCACACATCTTTGGTCTTTAAAGGCTCTCGTGGTGATTCTGGCATGCTTCTTTCCAAGTAGGTCATGTAAATTAGGAGTCATTGATCTTCTAGACCAGCGGCTTCAACAAAGGGCAATCTGGCTCCCAGCCCTGGCTGAAAGGTAATACTTGGCAATGTCTAGAGAAGTTTTTGATTTATGACTACAGGGATGATACTGGCATTTAGTGGGCAGAAGTCAGGGATGCTGCTAAACATCCTATCGTGCACAGACAGCCCTGCACAACAATGAATTTTCTGGTCCGAAATAGCAATATTGCTGAGGTTAAGAAGTCCTATACTAGACCATCACAGAAACTTCCAGACATCACAGAAACTTCCTGCTCAGTGTCTCTGTCTAGAGTTCTGCATCACAAAACTTCCAACGTTACACCATGCTTCTGAACCAGTGCTCTAATCCAAATGACCTCTAGCTATTTACCAAAGCAAGGAGCCCAGCCTGTGGATCTTTTCATCCTAAAGCCCTAAAGCAAAAAAAAAAAAAAAAAAATCTTTACAGTATTTCGAGGAGTTGTCTGTACTCTGCCTACACACTTTCAGCTCTGGGGAGCTCCTTCATTTTTTTGTTTTCTCCTCCACATGTTCTCCCTCTTTTTCTTCTAATTGAGATATAACGTACATAGGTAAGTTACACAGTTTTTAAGTATACAACTCAATGACTTTGAATATACGCCACCATGCAGCTATGATCTGGATCAAGATATAGAACATTCCCATCACCCCCAGAAAACTGCCCTGTGCTCCTTCTCAGTCATTATCACCTCCTAAAGGTTAACACTGTTTTCACTTCTTTATCCAAGCATATGTGTGTGTGTGTGTGTGTGTGTGTGTGTGTGTGTATACACACACACACACACACTTCCCAGAGTGGTTGGGCCAAATTACACGATGTTTCAATTACCCTGTGTCCTTGTCAACACCTGGTATTCTCTTCTTAATCTTAACCATTCTGGTGGGTGCATAGTCCTGTCTCGTTGAGGGTTTTAATTTGTTTTTCTTAATAAGTAGTGATATTGGGCACCTTTTTATTTGCGTGTTATCCATCTCTTGTGAGGAACTTGAAGTTTTTTGCCCATGTTTTAATTGGGTTGTCTGTCTTTTTCTTATTGATTACCAAGAAGCCTCTGTATATTCTAAGAAACTTCCCTTTGGGTTAGAAATATTGGTTGGAATTGCGAGAATTATTGCTGAAATTTCTTGCTCTTTTCCCCTTTGGAAATCAGAAAATGTTTGCAGATACAAACCGTCCACGCAAAGAAGTTGAGTGTGGCCTCTTGCTGCCAAATCCTTAATTCTCTTGTTGGGTTGTAAATGAGAAGTTTGCCCTTTGGTTGGGCAGTAAGAGCTCGTGGTTTATATTAGGATTTTAATGTAGTGTAAGACACTCACTGTACCTCATTACCACTCATTGCGATGCCGTCATTTAGATTTTGACGGGCAGGGAAAAACAAAGCTTAAGGGGGAAAAGAATCACCAATACTATAGTTAGCGTTTCTGGGCCAAGAAATTGTTCAAGACATCTATTTTAATAGAGCTGGTTTTAAATAGCCTTTTAAAATAAGAGCAAACGCTGATCCCCTTTGTGTACCAAATGCTTGGTGAGGCACATTACATACCTGATCCCGTTTAAGTCCGTTATAGCCCTGCAAAGTAAAAATGAGGAAACAGAACCACGAAGAGGTTGGAAATGTACCCAAGGCAAAACTGGGGTTCCTGACTTCAAAGCTCATGCCCCCAAAAGAAGAGGTTATACTTTTACATAGGATGAAGTTCATAAATTATCTATACCTGAGAGTACGCTTTAAA